CGCACAGCCCTATTAGACCTTGTGGTTGAAATCTTCCATTTTTTTTAGTAAATAAATCTAAGGTATCAAGTTCAAGCTCCTATGTCACCTCGTTATGTGTTCACACCACCCGCGCTCTTACAATAACAATACCCAGTATTAATATACTTCAGTATCAGACTGACAATATCAGTCTTTTACAGCTGCGGGGTAATAAAAATATTTCATTGTAAAATCCACACTATCTAATTAACAACAATCTGTGTTTGTATAGTATAGCATGTTGTCTATAATAACACCATTCCAGCTTACTGGGACACTGAAATGTAGCATTATTATTAATATGCATATGGGTCATGAAAGGGAATTACCATCAGTCGATTCCTACAGTACAACAACATTAAGATTAACATGCGTTTACACTGGACAGAGCTATTTTATCTAAGCAAAACTTCCAAAAAACGCAAAACAATCCAGGTCTGGTCTCTGCTTTGCTCTTCTACACACTCACAAACTTCAAAATACCTTCATCTTTTATTTTCACAATGCAAATTTCTCACCTAAGACCTGTAATAAATGTCATTGGAATGATCTGATTACAAAACTGCCTTTTGAAAACTATTTATCTGTAATCTAATCAGCATAACACCTGCATAAACACACATCCACGTTTTAGTTTTAGTTTTAATTAAGACTATGATGTTAAAAATAACTTGAGTAACACTGAATATTGGCCAGCAATATACAATATTGACACAATAACAAAATGATGAAAGAACAATGCTATATCATGTGCAATACATCGATTTAGCAACACTGGGTTGAATGAAGCTTTCACAACCGCTTGTTTACGTTGTGAGTCAGGAGACTTCCTAGCTTAAAACCGAGATGTCAAAATCATTTTACACCATGGGCCACATACAGTGCACTTTAATCTTAAGTGGGCCAGACCAGCGAAACTCCCCTTTCTATTAATGTGAAACATTTAGGTACATGTTCAAAACCCTGAGAAGTCTTTATATGAAGAAAAGAAGGGTAATTCCAACAGTAACTCCCAGTTATGCACTCAATCACAGTTTCCAAAGCCTTTTAGTGGGCCGGATTAGAGTCTTTGCCAGGTCAATTCTGGGGCCCGGGCCTTATGTTTGACATCCTTGGCTAGAGAAGTTATGGGAAAAGTAAGAATAAATGACTGTCTTGCAGTAACTAAGGCAGCATCTGTGAACATTCTGAATCTAATTAGTTACACCATGGTTACCGTGCTGTTTGTATGCTTTTTTTCTTTTAAATGTTTAACATAAAAAAGAGAAAGTTTTCCTTGGGAGGATCTGAGAACTACTTCTTCACAAGGTCACAGTGAAAGCTGACAGAAAGAGGAAGAGACAGCCTAACACACTTACCATTCCTGGTGGATGAACTTGATACTGCCAGTGCAGACACAAGGGTGGTACAGGGGTTTGTCAGGGGTCCCCTCAGAGCGGCACACGCGACAAATATCCGCTACACACAAACAAAAACACACAACAGTTTCAATTTCAATGAATGTCTGATCCTCTTCGCCAAGGGTTAGCAAAACAGACGCGAGAGCAAGTGTCACAGGGTGTGTATGTGGTGTCATATATGCATATATATGCACAGTAATAGAGGATATTTAGTTAAAAGCAACATTTAAAAAAATATTTGCACCAACAGCGTGGCTTATGTAAACAGAGCACACAGCAGGAAAGTGATGACATCACTGGTAAATTCTGGTCCTTTCTACGCTCCCCGCTACTTATTGCACTATCCCCACATGCTAACATCGTGTGCTTTACAACACCGTTTTCTCCCGTCTTAGCTGGCTACATCCAGCCAGCTAAGTTTAACCATTAGCAGGCCAGCTCAGCGGTCGGCGAGGTGATGCACTTGTGAAGCTAATGCTAGCTATTGATGAGAAAGAAGCTACTAGTGGCATTTTTTTTTAAATTTACCTTCTTCAGCAGTATCCATGTTGCTCGCTAAGCACCGGTCACCGTCTGTTATTCGACTAATTTGTACCGTGAACCCATCCACGACACGGACAGTATCGTTTAGCTAGCTCAGTTAAGCTAGCGAGACGACAATATCCTTATGGGTCAATTGCATTGACAATCATAAAATGGTTTCCCCACAGATTAAAACATAAATCTTCGCTCCGCTGTGTTCTCTCGCGTCCAGTATATGTTCGCCAGTACACAAAGGTTTCTAATTCACTGTGTATGTCTAATGTAACACAAGAAACCAGGGGGAAACGCTACATCTCAGGGTGTTGATCATACGACAGTTTAAACCTGGGAGACAAATGGCTAGCTTAACCTGCTAACGCATGCGCCAAAGACACTTCTGGCTCCTGTCATAACAGTTTTACTTCCCTACAGAGGTTCGAGTTTTACGGCAGGGAAACGACCATAACAACCGTCACGTGATTGTATTTCGTGTAATATTTTACTCAAATAAAAATAAATAATAAAAATAAAATAAAATAAAAAAAGATAGACGCAAAATTAAAAGTTACATACAATGAGAGAGAAAGGTACGGAAGCGTAGAGCTGCCACCCAGGCAAAAGAAAAATACAAGTGTATCACGTTATAACGTGAAAAGTTTATTGTTCTAACAAGATACTTTTCCTGTTTGTACAATATACTATCATGTTTGTACAATATACTTTTGACGTTTGAACAACATAATATCACGTTATTACAATATACATAATTATCACGTTCGTACAATATATTTATATTGTACGAACGTGATAATTATATTGTACGAACGTGATAATTATGTATATTGTACGAACGTGATATTATGTTGTTCAAACGTGAAAGGTATATTGTACAAACATGATAGTATATTGTACAAACAGGAAAAGTATCTTGTTAGAACAATAAACTTTTCACGTTATAACGTGATACACTTGTATTTTTCTTTTGCCTGGGTGGCAGCTCTACGCTTCCGTAAGAAAGAGCATCTGCAATATTTCGAAAATAAGAACTAAAAGTGTCAAATAGACGTCACTATTAAACATTAAATTCTGCAGGAACAACAGGAACAAACATTTTTATTGGGAGGTTTTTCCGAACAGATAAGAGATGTACTTAAGTATAAATATGTGGTCAAACTTGTCACCACAATACTTGTACACTGATCATTCACTACAAAAATTAGCTTCAGCATTTATCTTGGAACTTTATTTCGCTCTCTTTATATGTTCCTGTACTTATAAACCAATATTTTGTATTAGAAAAGTACACGTATCAAAAAAAGAGCAAGAATAACTATAAGAAAATTAAAACGTGAAGTCTCGACACCAGTCAATCAGCCACTACAGCAATACGCGCTCTGCCACGCACCGGCGCCGTGGCTTAGTTGGTTAAAGCGCCTGTCTAGTAAACAGGAGATCCTGGGTTCGAATCCCAGCGGTGCCTTTTTGCAAAGGGTCGTCAAATTAATTTGATTTCTTGGTCCACTTTAATCTTAATCGGCCCGAACCAGATTAGCTCCTCTTTCTGTCAAGAAATTTAACTACATGTTTAATCTTAATTAACATAAGCTAAAGAACAATATGTGCTGAACACACCCTGCTGCTAAAAATAATGAAATGAAAGACATTTTCCAGAATTAATAAATAAATCTGTAAAAATACAGACGTTAGCGTAGATCATTAACTCAGATTACAAAAGTGAACATTTTCATCATTTTAAATCAAAAAAATTCATTCGTTCATTTAGTTTTGTTTTAATGTGGGTCTCTTGTTAAAAAACAACAACAAAAAAAAACCCAAACAAAAAAACAAGGAAAAAAAGACCCAAATCTATGCAAAACCAGCCCGATTGCAGTCGTTTCCGGGGTTATTCTGGGCTCATGTTTCTATCCTATGCTATTCTATGCTATTCTTATGTTTGGCACTCCCTGCATACATACGTTATCAATTAATAACACTAAACAACAAAACCCTATCCCATTTAAGCAAGCCAGAGATAGGAAAGAAAAAATATCAGTCACCATGACTTGCAGTTACAGACACACATACTGTGAAAACAATACCAGGTTTGTCCTCAGATAGTCACTTCTTACCTGTTTAAAGATTAAATACAGTTTAAATTCAACTGATTTCATTTAAAAATAGATGCTACAAATAGAGTTTGTAGCATACAAATATTCCCTGTAACCATGCATGAAAGAAAGAAAGAAAGAAAGAAAGAAAGAAAGAAAGAAAGAAAGAAATCATGCATTGAGAAAGTCATAAGAGTGTTATCACTTTTATTTTGAAAGTGGGAGTGGAAAGGAATTTCAGCTTTGTCCAACTGCTAGCTCTCTCCCCTCTTTATAAGCAGATCAACATTTTGACTTTCAGCCAGGCAGCTACGCAGAAACTCGCAAACCATCAAGGTATGTTTCTCACGTCGTCTTTGCAAACGGATTTTTCTGTCCAGTGTTGGATTTCATTAGTTTACATGGAAAAAATATAGAAGGGGTGGAATCGTTTAACTGAGTTATGCAGCAAAGCATGTCGAAGTATTTTGCTTTGTCATGCTTTGTTGCGCAAATGTCACAAGTGAGTCCAGGTGTGCACATGGGACATTATTCTATTTTTTAAAAAAATGTAATACATCCCAGCTTTGCTGTCTCCTTTTTTACCAATACTTTCTGTGCTTCTGTCTTTATCTCTGCCAGCAGATGGCAAACGAAGCCAAGCCGTGTCCCTGCGATATTGGTGATCGCATGGAGTATGGAGCGCTCGGCCAGGAGGTCCAGATAGAGCACTTTAAAGCTTATGTAGTAAAACCATCCACTGCATCCGACAAGGCCATTATTATCATTCAAGACATATTCGGTTGGCAGCTTCCCAACACCAGATACATGGCTGACATGCTTGCTGCTAATGGATACATGTGCGTTTATATGACTGACTCATTGATAGACTGGATTGAGATTCCTGAGGCGAATGTAGGATTTCTAGAATCAGTGATTTTCTGAGATTTTGATTCCTCCTTTTTCTGTTGTTTTATTGTGAGCAGAGCCATTTGTCCAGACTTCTTTGTTGGAAAGGAACCTTGGAGTCCAACAAAAGACTGGTCCAACTTTCAAGAGTGGCTACAGGACAAGAAGCCGACAGCTATTAACAAGTAAACAAACGCGTGAACTACGTAATGCAGCAGCTACTCATAGCTTTGATAACTTTATGACCTTGTGTGATAGCGCACACTCATTGAACTTTTCCTTCTCAGAGAGGTGGATGCAGTGCTGAAGTTCCTGAAGAATCAATGCGGAGCCAAACATGTCGGAGTAGTAGGCTTTTGCTGGGGAGGGGTTGCCACACATTACCTGGCCTTACTGTATCCAGAGATTAAAGCTGGAGTGTCTGTTTATGGTATGCCATTGTTACAGCAGAACAAGTGGTATGGTATA